TCTCGACTTTTGTCAACGGTATCTAGTGACCCTTAGCCAAATTCATCCTTCATTCTGGCGCGTTGTTTATATGATCAGGTACTACGTGAACATGATCGAGGGGATGCCATTCTCGCTCGACCATCTGATCAGAATGTACAACCCTCGTTTCTTCCGCGGGGGTCTGATTAAGCTCCGCTGCCGAGCCCCGAAGAACCTTTTTGCCTATACCGAAGAGCCGGGAACAAGGGATGGATAAGCCGCTTCGTCCGAGTATGGACTTCTGACCTGATCCTGGCGGAAGGATGCCGTTTCTCGAGAGGTAGAATGTGGAACGTAAGTAGACATGTTATCTAGTGTTCCCTTGCCTTTCTTTGACTATGTTAGAATGCACTGAATTTTTCTTGATAATGCAGCCGCGATAATCTATCCCGGCGCAGTTATGGACCTCCCGAATTGGGTCGGTCGTCTGAATTCGATTTGCCCATATGTCGAGCGAGTGGCGCGATTTGTCTCAAGCTCGGTGGGAAGCTAAAGATCACGGTGAGCCTTTACCCCTGTCGTAGTCATATTCTTTGACCTGAGTCACTATTAGCAGCATTGTTGTTTCCTGTGTTTACCCCCTGCGCTTGTGTAGGCCTGGGGGAGGTCCCCTTGATGAAGGGAGTATTACCTAGTGAGGAAGGCACTTTGGTATCCGATGAAGGGAAAAAGAGACAACGGGATCCGTCGGACCGGCCCTTGGAATCTAAGAAGATGAAGGCAGAAGAAACTGAGGCCGGCCCGGCGGCCCTAACTCGAGTTGACGGCGAGGGAGAAAATAACTTCTCAACAGCATCCGATGGAGCGACAAACCTGGCCGACCCTTGGGCCGTGGAGGTGGTGGCTTCCGAGCCGGAGTCTGAGGGTGCTGCGATCCAGCTTTGTAGCAAGGAGACAACTGAGCGGGCACCAGGTGTAGCCTCCGAGGTGGCCGATGGTCAGGGTTTCCTTTGGGGCAGGGGTGCCTTCGGTAGAAGGTTCGGAGGGGCCTAGTCTTGGGGCCTTGAATGGACAAGGGATAGTCCCGATCGATCCTGCTAGCACCGTGGTCGTGATTGATTCCCCTCAGGGAACGACCCTATCTCCTAAAGGAGTGCAAGATGCCCTGCGTGAAGAGATTTCCGAATCAGAGAGACCTATCAAAGGCGGAGGTGCGCCCGGGGGGCTTCTAACCGTTCCCGAGGAAATCCCTGAGATCGATGCTTCACTCGTCTTCGGTGAGATGAGCAGGCTCTGTGAGCAGGTAATCCGTGCGAACCCTGCCTGTCGCTCTAGCCTTGGTTGTTTTGATCTTTGTCTTTTAATCTTGTCTTTTTCCGTGGCTCAGGCCAAGGCGCTCTATAGTCAGACTTTTGCCTGGTAACGGTGTGAGGTGATCTGTCATGAGCTCGAGAAAGCTCATCATACTGAACAAGTTATCTAGTCCATGTTCGCCATCATCTGAATGTTTTCGCCAGATCTCAGTGTCTTAACATCTCCGACCTGGTTTGTGCAGTTTGAGAAGGAAGGTGCTCTGTTGAGCGAGGAGCTCCGGGCCAGAGATTTTGAAGTCTCCGAACTCAAATGGCTCGTAAGGGAGATAACTTCCGAGAGGGATTCCCTCCAGGAGAAAGTGACCCTAGTCGGACGTCAGCTTAGTGATGCGAGGGAGGATAGTGACAAGTACATGGGTCTCCATTACGAGCTGGTAGTTGCACTATCCGGGATCAAAACCGAAGCTGAGGCGCTTATATCTTTGCATAGAGAGGATGCTATTGTGACCAGCGCTCAGACTGGGAAGGTGAAGACCCTGGGGAGGAGAGATGCTGCCTTGCTTACTTTCGGAAGTGTGTCGGGCAGTGGCTCAGGAGGAGACAAAAATGAAGGCGGAGCCCCTGGAGGAGAAGAGGCCGCTGAAGGACCCGTAGCCGATGGGACGCAACCCTCGGTGAAGCCATCGGAGGCGCAGGCTCAATAATAGATTAGGATTTTGTTTGCCTTTTCTTTGTAAGGGGTTTTCCAATATTTGTAACCATTCCCCCTGGGGGTCATAAGAAGGTTTTTGGCTTCCTATCCTTTCTTTCACTTTAGTGCGGTCTGGAGACAATGGCTCTTACGCCTCGGAACGATACGGCCTTTAATGTGTAAGCTGGCATTCGAGCTCTTATGCTTTTGTGTGCAAGCTGACGTTTGAGCTCTTATGCTTTTTTCCCTGGGGCATTTTTAGGTAACTATTTTGGGTTCAGTCTCCAAATCGGATCGCGATTCGAGTTCATTCGACCCTCAAGTTTTCAAATTTGCATGAGCTGGCGACAATGGCCCTTACGCCTTGGGTCGATGTGACCTTTTATGTGTAAGCTGGCTTTTGGGCTCTTATGCTTTCTGCCCTGGGGAATTTTTAGGTAACTATTTTGGGTTCAGTCTCCGAATCAGGTTACGACTCGAGCTCATTCGACCCTCAAGTTTTCAGATTTGTGTGGGCTGGCGACAATGGCTCTTACGCCTTGGTAGAAGTGACCTTTCATGTGGGCTTTATTTTTCCCTCATTAAGGACTTTTTGCGATAAATTTTGCCCGACTCTTCGACGGTTCGAGAAGAACCTCGATTATGAGCCATTTTGTGGCGATGATCGAGCACCTCGGGAGGTTTGGCTCGAAGGCTGAGTAGCTCGAAGCCTGTGATTTGGAGCTGACATGGTCGAAGCTCTTTTGCTTATGCTGAGGGTATCCTGTTTAACCAGTTCTTTTCGAAGTAGATTCAAAGTAATTGAAGGTCTGTGATTTTGTAGCGACGGTCGGGCGTCCTCGAGTCACATTAGCTTGGCTGGTATAGCCTTATGACCGTAGTCATTTGTGTTTGTCCAGAGCCATTTTTGATCCCAAGTGAAGTAGTTTGGGCGTCTATATTGAGGGTATGCCTTTTTAGGGGTCTTACAAGTTCGATATATAGCCTAAACTTTGATTTTCATATGAATTAAAATGCACAAATAAAAATGCAACAATTACCAAAGAATGCCACAAAATTCACAACAAATTACTAGAAAAAATTGCTTTATTTGAAATTTTGGGAATTACTGCTTAGGGCAAAAATCACGTGCTCACACCCAGGACCGCACATACGGAAATCGCAGAAGGCAGTGGCCTTCATTTATTCGGGTTCTAGGCCATTTTTGCTCATTTTCACTCATTTCTTGGGCGATTTTGGAGCTCTTGGAGGGGTGATTCCGCCTAGCATTATGAGGTAAGTTATTTCCAATTAATGTGAGTTTAATACTTGAGTTTTGGGTACATTAACACATAAAAATTTGAGAAAATCATGGGATTAGAGCAAAACCTAGGGTTTTGCTAAAAACAATATTCAACCGCGAAATTTGTTATGGAATGAAGTAGAAATCATATATTCGTGATCCTTAGGTTATAAAGAACAATTTTCTTCGAAAAATTTCGGAAATTCGGGCACGTGGGCCCGGGTCGGATTTTAGGAAACTTGTGTTTAAGGTTGGGAAATTGCGTAAATAGTTAGAATGCGATCTTGTGAGCTTGTATTGACTAGTTCTTACCTCGTTTATCTATTCTTGGATCGTTCGGCTCCAAATTGAGAGTTTGAGCTCGTTCTTGGCATTGGAAGTACGCTTTTGAGCGAGGTGAGTCTCCTTTCTAACCTTGTAAGAGGGAATTGTCCCCATTGGTGAGTAAATTGGTTATGTGCTCCTATTTGCGGGGGCTACGTACGCACGAGGTGACGAGAGTCCGTGCCTAGCTACTATTATGCTTTAGTCCGGGTAGTTTAGGGCCCAAAAGCATGCTTTCTTGTAATACTTGCAACCTTGTTGACAAATTTAAAATGCTTAAAACATATCGAACTTGTAAATGATTTTCTAGAAAAAGGCTAGATACCATTTCTTGACTTTTAAAAGAGAAACTTGCCTTTTCCTGAATACTTGCTCCTTGATGAATTATTGATTTGATTGTTTGAATGTGTTTATCTATTGTGGAACAGGCCGAACGCCTCGGTAGATTAAATAGATGCATCTATGGTTCGCGCCATTCGACCCTCTAGCAGTGCACAATTTAAATATTGTTGGATCGGGTCGTACGTCCTTGGCATGATTTGCGCATGCTTGTATTGCTTGCCTTGGAATTTATTGAAGTGATGTTGTTCCTTCCCGGCTTGAGAATAAATGTATAAATGACGAAAAGGAATTTGGAAATTTCCTATAAAAGAAAGAATTATTTACTTGCTTCATTCTATTGAATTACAATCATGTTTATAAAAATCCACGATTTAATATATTATTGATATAACATTATTGGACCACTAGTAAGTGTTGAAGTCGACCTCTCGTCTCTACTTCTTCGAGATTAGACGGGATACTTACTGAGTACACTTTGTTTTCGTACTCATACTACACTTGTTGTGCATTTTTGTTGCACAGGTTTATGTGTGACTAGTGGCTTAATGGCATAGCGGCATGGTTGATGAGACTTGGGTGAGTTACAATTATCGAGACGACCCGCAGCCAGCAGAGTCTCCTTCACAGTATTGTACTGTATTTTCATTTCTGTCCACTTTGTATACCGGACAGTTACTGTATTTTATTTCATTCCCTAGTAAATGTTCATGCACTTGTGACACCGGGTTCTGGGATATCTATGGGTTTATTTAGAAATTTAAGATTGTTAAATGTTCCATTATTTATTCAGTGAAATTTAGTATGTGTTGTTTAAACGTATAATAGAAGTGATTCCGGAAATATTTAAAACGAGAAGTTACTAGTTATTTGTCGTTGGCTTGCCTGACAATGGTGTCCGGCGCCATCACGACCCTTAGTGGATTTTGGGTCGTGACAAATGGGTTCAGCTCCACCATTCTTAACTTACGACCCTCAGTCTAATGGTCAAACTAAAGTAGTGAACAAGTGTGTGGAATGCTACCTTAGGTGTATATGCAATGGCAAACCTAAAGCGGACCATAGAACAAACCTATGCAAAGCCTAAGAATATGAAAAATCCATATGTTGGATGTATGAAGAAGTGTCAAAAAGCAATGTGCAAAAGAATCGTAAAACAAAACCAGCCATCATTGAGAACAAACAGATGGAAAACAAAATTATTTTCCTCTTTCTGCAAGGTAAAGGTTGCTAAAAGATCAAAACTGACTATTAACTTTCTGCTGCATGCAAAGAATACCTGAGCATCTCCTATGCTCTGGCCTAACTTCAGGTTAACTTCCGAAAGAGAGTACACTTCAATGCAATCAACTTACTTCCTTCTTCAGCATGAACGGTTATGGAACTGTCACTCTGCTCTTTTAACAGGTTGATCTTTCCTCTAAAAGAAATGATCATTTGCTTTGTCTGATCCTTCTTTTTTCATGTCTTCCAACTTTTTAAATTTCTTTCATTTTGTTGCTACACGTGCATCTACTTTTGGATTGACGACTTAGGCTCTTTATCTTTTCTGATGACGATTCTGTTGATCTCTTTTCTTGAGGTGTGGATTTGTTGATTACATTTTCCACAATATCCTTAGTGTTGGCATGTCACTCAATCTTGTCTCCCAAGGCCGTGGAGTCTACACTTTTTGGAGACTCCATTTTGGGTGAGGAAGCTTTGGAATCATGGTGTTTCTTGGGTGATGGCATAGACTCTTTAGGTTTAGGTGTCTCCGTTTCAGGTGGCGAAGCTGTGAAGTTTTGATGTTTCTTTGGTGATGGGGCCGACTCTTCACTTTCAGGTGACTCCGCTTTCTTAGAGAATACTGTGAGGTCCTGATGTTCCTCAGCTGACTTAGAAGATTCTTCATTTTTGGGTAATTTTGGAGACACTACATTCTTGTCAGGAGATTTCAGACCTTCATTTTCTACTGGAGGTCTACTTTTACTTTTACTGGGGGATAGATTTGTTGAGTCTTCTTTCACTTCAGTTTTGCTGGTTGGTTCCGCAACATTCTCTGATTTGGCGGATGCTGTGAGGTCCTGAGATTCCTCAGGTGACTTAGAAGATCCTTCATTTTTAGGTAATTTCGGAGACACTACATCCTTGTCAGGAGATTTCAGACCTTCATTTTCTACTGGAGGTCTACTTTTGCTGGGGGATAGATTTGTTGAGTCTTCTTTCACTTCAGTTTTGCTGATTGGTTCCACAACATTCTCTGATTTGGCAGGCAACTCCACTTTCGCCGGCATAGCTGTAGAGTTGTGCCGAGTCTTGGGTGAGTCTGGAGACTTTTCATTCTTATGAGGTGAATCCGTGCCATCATCCTTGTTGGTGGATATATCCGTGTCGTCCTCTTTTTTGTCTATCGATTCTGCAACCTCTGGATTGACCTCTGTCTTTTTCTCAACTTCCAAAGGTCCGAGCTTTGCATTACTATTCTTAATTGCAGTTGTTAATGATCTTGCATCACGAGCAGCTGCAAGCCGTTCAGGTGATGATGCCTGTTTTGCGAGAAGAAAAGAAGATATCACCACATCAAAGTAGTTAATTCATGGCTTAAGTGGTATTATTATTAGTATAATTATTGTTATTATCATTATCTGATAATTACTACAAAGAGAACCCAGAAGTGGTTAAATGATTTCATAGCAACAGAATGGATAGCTCTAAAATCAGTTATCAATGTTAGCAACAAGTTCACAAGTCACATTTGAATGCTAGAAAATTGCGGGACCATTTAATAAGTTACCTGTTGCAATTGTTCAGCCCTTTTCTTAAGAGCTTCTAAAGATGCTTCCTTGTAAATAAGTTTTAAAATGTAGACCAAGTGAGACTGGAGATTCTCTTGACGATGCTCGTCTGCTTTGCATTGGGGAATGGTAGAAAGGCAACCAACTGGGTAAAAGGAACAGTTGACGAGCTTCATCGGACAAACAGTTATACAGTGCCGGTCCATTTCACGCCGCATGAGCATTTCGGGGCACTTCTGCTCGCACTGAAGTATTTTGAAAGGACAAGTAGAATCATGCTGTTCCAGTTGAGCTGCACTAAATCTGGCATTACAGCCCTCATTTGCACAGTTTATTTCCCTGAAACCACACGAGGAGACATGTTGCACAAGCTCTTCTTGGGACTTAAACTTCATATTGCAGTGAAAGGTGTTCTTGAAGTCAACATTTCTAATCACTGTTTGTGCTACGGTTTCCCTCCTCCCCATCAACCAAAAGCCATTTATTTCCATTTCTTGTACGAAATCATCTATTCTGTCCTCTCTCCTTTCACTTAGTACCCATCCCGAAACCTTGCTAAAGAAATTCCTCTTTGACTGTCCAAAATCATCAATAAAATCTGAAATGATATCGTAAGGGTTGTCAGAGACAACTGTTTCTGTTCCACCATCTAAGACAACAGACTCGGCAACAAATGTCTCGCTTCTCTGGATAAGATAATCCACCATTTCTCTTCTGACATCAACAGCGACAGAAGCAGGGCTCTTGAATAGACCACCAGTCGTGTTGTCAACACAGGCCGAGGCTAATCCTGTAAGGAATTCCTGTGCTACCTTGCGAACCATTTCTGCATCGAATAGAATACAAGAAAAGAGAGGACCTTCCTCTTTTACTTCTTCAAGTGTCGAATCCCCTTCATTTGTAGGGGGATCCATGTTTGAAGATGCTTCCAACATTATGTATGAACTGCACTACACAGCAAATGAATACATGAAAACAATACTGGTGAAAGAAATAACTTTCAGGAAGAAAAATGTGCACTAATAATGAGCTTTAACCGCAAATAAACAGATGCACTGGAACAAGAGGATTGAAAAAATTCACCAAGCTTTAGGTTTCATATTTGGTATGCTACATTATTTGATCACAGGATTTATGATGAAGAAACAGAAGCAGTAAAAGATTGAAGAAATAACACCCAATCCGAAAGACAAGAGGGAAACTTTAGACTAAATTCAAATTAGTGAATTGCTTTTACCCAAATTTCCAACCAAGAAGAATGCATTTGCAAAAATGGCCATTACAGAATCAGACATAACCCAAAAGAGAACACAGTCTAACTGTAAGATTGGATCAAATGTTAAAAAAAAAATTGAAATCCATAAAAATGGGTATAAACACATACCTAATTAAATACCAACCCTCGAATTCAAAATCAGCTCAAATCACCTTTCTGCTATATAAACATTTTTCAAGGAAGTCAAAAGCTACAAAATGCAGATAGAAAAAGCATAAAGACAAGAACCAAACAAAAAGGTAAAAGAAAAGAAGACAAATTTCAGAAAGAAAGAAAAAAAAAAAAAAAGAACCTCAGTACCTTCAGTTTGGCGACTTTGTCTCCGCAAATGAAGCTAAATAATTTTATACAAAATGTACAAAATTATTCTGACCGACAAAACCGTCCCTCCACGATCGCCTTTCTCCTTTTTTTTTTAAGCATGCACCTGAGCGTATTTTTTTTTCCCCATTCTGTGATCTGTATGCTGAAGCCGGTAATGTGAAAATAAGAAACCAATATTTTTATTACGACCCCTCAAGTTTCGCAGGAAGTCCCAGTTACCCCACCGGAAACAAAATTCGTACATACTTGCGGTCAAAATACGGTTTAACGGCTCAAAGATCCAAGCTTTTCCACTTCTCTTTCACTACTATTCCCTAACTTTTTATGTGGCACATAGTTTAAAAAAGAGTTTTTCTTTATTATCTTAAATATGCATTTAAAATAAATGAAGATTTTAAATTAAATTATTTTTTAAATATAAAAGGGTATTGTTCTTTGTTAATGGAAAAAAAAAATAAAACATTATGTAACACATAAAATGAAGGCAAAATACCTTAAAACCTCCATAAACATGACACGTATTATTGATTATATCTTTGAACTATCTGTGGTCGTAATTACCCCCTATACTTGGTTATTCGATAGATGTTCGCCTGCCATATAGATTTTTCTGTCCATGTGGGATTTTTTGAAAAATAAAATATATTTTATATCTTTTTAAGTGTGTTACCTTTTTAGATAATCTTTTTATAATAAAACTTAGTTAGAACTACATTATTTAGGCTAAAAAAATTTGGCTAAAAATAACAGAGTTTTTGTTATTGTTTTTGAATTTGACCTGAAAATAAAGATTTATACAGTTGAATTAAATAGTGAAGGCATCTAAAAAGATATAAAAATACATAGTTTGATTTTTATTATTTTGACTATAACTTTTTGTATAGCTCAAATTATGGAGCTCTAAAAATATTATTTTTTTATATATATATTGCCGGAAAAAGTAAAAATACATAGTTGAAATAAATAGTCATTACATTAAAAGAAGAAATAAAAAGAGTGTACAATTGCAAGTTCATTATTTTGGCTATACCTTTTTATTGGGTAAAAAATAATGGAGTTGTAGCCATTTTTTGTACTGATTTGACTCGAAAATAAAAATACACAATTAAAATAAATAGATATTACATATAAAGAAAACAAATAATAGTAAATACACAACTAGTACTCTATTATTTTTGCTAAAAGTTTTCTATTTGGCTAAAATGATGGAGTTCCAACCAAACTTTTACAAATTTGGCCCAAAAAAAAAAAAAGAAGAAATATGCATTTACAAATTTGGCCCAAAAAAAAGAAGAAATATGCGGTTGGAACAAATAGACATTATATCTATAGAAGAAATTAAAAGAATAAAAGTTAGAATAAATTCCACATTATATGTCAAGATGAAGCAAGAAGAAATACATAGTTGTAACAATAAAATCATTATATATGACTATGCANGGGTACCTAGTGTGATGTGAGATATGCCCGAGGGGCTGGTACTGTTCTATGTGATTGCCCGAGGGGCTGGTACTGTTCTATGTGATTGCCCGAGGGGCTGGTACTGTTCTATGTGATTGCCCGAGGGGCTGGTACTATTCTATGTGATTGCCCGAGGGGCTGGTACTGTTCTGAGATATTGCCCGAGGGGCAGATTTGTTGATATGGTTGTGAGGCTCCGTAAAAATTTTTGGCTCAAAACCTAGTATCTTGTGGTGTCGACTCCGAATATGTGTTAGGAATGCGTAGAAGCTCGTCGCGGTTCGGACCCTTGGTATTGATCTAAGCTTGTAAAAATCAAAAGAATCAATTTTTCTAGAGAATGTCATTCTGCGGCCCAGAATGCGGTCGCAGATCTAGTATGCGGACCTCATTCCTACCGCAGAGTGAAACAGAAGACTTGTCAAAATTAATATTGAAAATGCGGTCTATTATGCGATCGCATAACCAATATGCGGACGGCATAATCGTTGCATAAGTTCCTCAAGGATTTGTGAAGGTCAGTTCTGCGGTGCACAATGCAACCGCATAATAGGAATGCGGACCGCATTCCTGTCGCAGACCAGAACAGACTCCTCAGAGTTTTGGGGGTACTTCTGCGGTCCAATCTGCGGATCGCATTTCGGTTCTGCGATCGCAGAATGCGACCGCAGATCTTGCTCGGGCTTCTATTTTTCTAAATTTTAAAACCCGACCCCTTTGAAATAAAACACCCATCCCCCTCATTCTTTAATGATCTTCTGCACAAAATAAGAGAGAGGAAGAGAGGGTCTTGAGAGTGAAAGTCATCTTCTCCAAAATTTGATTCTTCAAAACTATCCGGGCCGGCAAATTTCAAGCTTATCTTCATCCCCCTTTTCTTACAGGTAAAATCCCTAACCCTTTTCATTGAATTTCAGGTTTAAACTAAGGGGGGGAGTCTCATGCATTGGTTCTTGAAAATAATGGTTGAACTCATACATGCATGCCTTTCTATAACCTAAAATCTAGTAGGAGTAGTTGGGTGGGAGCAAAGACTTGTACAAAGAAGGGGCTGATAAACTAGATAAGTTTGAGAAGCATTTGTGAACCCCAATTCTAAGTTATGTGTATTAAATTGTGCACTATATTGACGTTGCTAGATTATTTGGTGAATTGGAAATAGAAGTTAAAAGGGAATTCGGCTTCAGGTATGTATGGCTAACTTTGATCTTTGTAAAATCACCTTTCTTGGTGTTCAATATTTGGTACGTGTTGTCTACGTGGGTTATTGGTGAAGTTAAACTCTTGCTAGTAATATGTGTTTACTTGTGTGAACCATTTGTGAATTCATGTAAATATTGTGCCTTAAACATTGTTGGTTAAGACGTCCGATATGATTGTGCAAGTAAATGGCAATAAACCAAGTTGTGATTGCGAATGTGTTATGTGGTAAGAACTCTGGAATAAATGATGGAAAGGAATCGAGATTAGTGAAATTGAGATAACTGTGGTAACATCCTTTGTGGCTAGTTGTGGAAAATTATTGTTGTGATTTAAATGGTACAACGAACTATTGAAAAAGATGGAAATGGCATTGATAGTCATATAAACCCTGTGTGAGTTGTGTTGTTGTTCCTTGAGATGTGTTGTCGTTGTTACTGGGATTTGTTGTTGTTGTTCCTGAAACGTGTTGTTGTTCTCCTTGTAAATTGTCATTGCCGTGGTATTGTTTGTGAATTGTGATTGCTCGGTGGGATCGGGTTGCGCGCCGCAACACGAAGTAATAAGGTGTGGGTTGTGGTGATAAGGGTGGCCGAGGTAATAAGGGTGGCCGAGGTAATAAGGGTGGAAAGTGATCGAAATCACTATTGAAATGAAATTATGAACAAATTGTGAAATTATTGATGTGGAAATGTGGAAGGGGAAAACAGGAGAGATTGTAAACTTGTTTGGCTTGATTGTTCCTTCTTTGTGTATTTGATTGTTATTTCTATTACGATTACATACTTGCTTATAAATTGTGAAATTATTGATTTGGAAGTGTGGAAGAGGAAGCAGGAGAGATTGTATACTTGCTCGGCTTAGTTGTTCCCTCTTTGTTGATTTGATTGTTGTTTTTATTACTGCTACATACTTGTTTTTGGTTCGAGTTTACTTGGATCAAGGTTTGTTCATACATACCAGTACAATTCAAATGTACTGACGTCCCTTTTGCCGGGGGCGCTACACTCATGTTATGATTGTAGGTGGATCCGTAGCAGGTACTCCAGTCCACCGATCGTAGCTCCCCTTCGTCCTCCATCAGCTTTTTGGTGAGCCCCTTTCCTCTCGGGGCCCTGCGTGGCTCAGGCCGCTTGTTTCCGGAGTTTTATTTTGATTTTTGTGTAAGGTATAGCCGGAGCCTTGTTACCGGCAAATACTATATTATCCTGTTGTAGTTTTAGAGGCTCCGTGGACAGTAGATGTGGGTTAAGAACTTGTGTAAATCTATGTTCATGTGTTGGGCAAAGAATTTGTAATTTCATTAACTATTATGTACGTATATATGTTTTGCAAAAAGGTATTCTAAGTTAATTATATGGCTAATTCTTGGAATATTGAGTAAGAAAAACATGGGGTAACACGTGGGTTAGGAAAGGCACCCAGGTCCGCTTGACTGGGACTACCCGGTCGGGCGCCGGTCATGTCCCTCGAATTTGGGGTGTGACAATGGTGCCCGAGGGGCGAACCTTATGTGCTTATCTTTCTTATTTGCCTGTTATTTACTTGCTTAATTGTGTATTTGTGCCCGAGGGACGGATTTCTATGCTTATCTGCACTAGTTGTTCTGCATTCATTTGCACAACTGTTGAAAAAGTTATTTTAAAAAAGGTTTAAACTGAGCTAAGATGTTTTAAAGGATTTTTCAGCTTCATTGCTCTCTACTAGCTTTTGAAATTGCTTCTATACGGCATGTTGATGCTCTTTTCGTGATTTTTTAATACTCAGTCTTTATTTTTGATTATTACTCACTGAGTTGGAGTACTCACTTTACTCCCTGCACCATGTGTGCAGATTCAGGTATTCTACACCCGGTAGCGGGTTTTGGCTGATCGGAGGCTGAGTTATCGGAGTTTAGCAAGGTAGCTGCCGGCGTTCGCAGCACTGCTTTTCTCCCTCCTTATTTTTTAGTCTGTACTTGGTACATTCCAGACTTTGTCAGTTGTATTTAGACTCAGTAGATGCTCATGACTAGTTACACCCTGTATCAGACTGAGTTGGGTTGTATTCCGCGTATTGTTTTGTATTGTCATTGTTACTTCTGACTTTATATCATGTTTAGACGTAATGCTTATTGTTTAATTGCTTAAAGACTGGTTTTAAATGTGTCGGTGGGCCTTGTCTTCACGAGAGGTGCCATCACGACCGGGTCTGGGTTTAGGGTCGTGACACATATTAGCTTATTGTATATCAGCAGGTCATCATTTCCTTGAAATTTTGCTATGAAAATCACATTACACACCATGAAAAAACTAACGCAAGAAGCAAAGACAAGTTTACTAAATGGGAATATAGTGTTCTGGTTCCCATATAATTTATTCTTAAGCAAGCAAAATTTACATAGCAAGGAGAAGAGTTAGACCAACATGTGACTAGTACAGATTCTTTCAATTGCAAAAGCAATATAGTATCTTAAAAATTCACCTCCGTTGGCATAGTCCCTATGA